TTGTGCTGATAAGAAGCAACAGAATTATAGAGTACTCCCCCCAGGGAGCTGTGTATTTGTGCAATAGGTGTTCAATCCAATAAAAGGGGTACTAGTATTATTAAGCGCAAAGCATCATTGTGCTACATAAAAACCAAGATAATTATCATTATTATGCTGATTGTTCCGAATAAGCAAAATACTCTACTGACGCACATGTAAACCCACCCAATAACTTTAAGTAAATTCCATATATTCACAAGGGTATATTAGCCCATTCCTAAACTTCAAAAATTAGAAATGCAAATATTAGAAGTGGGTCAGAGATAATAATTCTAAAGAAATAGATTAAGAAAATTAATTGCATTAGAGATTTAAGAATTAAAGAATTATTTTCAGCTTATACATTTAGCACCTCCCACCCTTTTTTCAAGGTATTGGTTTGTTTATGCGTCTGTGGGCGCACGCACGAAAGAACAATACTTGGAATGGTGTTATATAGTTTGGATATGATTCTTGCCTTCTAATACCAGGGTTCTTGGTTTAATTCCTGTGACAACTGATTGGATCTTCTCTCCCCCCCCCCAAATTGGGGGGGGGGGTGGGTGGTGGGGGACCAATTTTCTTCATTTTCACATGATTTGAACCCATGACCCTGGGGTTAAATCAAATAGCCATCAAGCAACAATTTCAAATAATTATTACAACATGTAGCCTACCAATGTACTTCAAATAACAAATCTGTGACTTAAACAGATGTCTGCTTCAAAAATCATAAATATATTTCCTAGGTGATTAAATCATATTATTTATAGATTGTTCCCTAGCCGATGGTTTATGTCAATTTAGATATATTAGCAGATAACGTTCATGTCAGCATATTAGCTTCATATGCTGTGTTTGCTATCGGTCTATATATATGGAAATAACATTGTAATGTTGTAATTATTAATCCTGTGTTATTGTTTATAGAGAATATGCATTTGTATGCAGTTGATATCTATATACCTTTTGTATATATGCACAGTACTGTTACATTGTAAGTATTATTTGAACTGAAAATATTTTTGCATATATAGAGCTCATTACATTATATTTGTTGTGTTCGACTTATTTCACGACATCAAATTCATATCCACATGTGTGAATTACAATAGTAAAATTAACATATTCCTATAACAAAATTTGAAAATATGAAAATGAGATGTATGGAATTGCATTGGAAGCAATGCTTTTAGCATGTACTGTAACCCTTATAAATAATGAGATAATTATAAATTCTTCAAAAAAAAAAAATACTTAATTCGATTCCCACCAGACATTATCCTGGTATTTCTGAGTTGAGTTTTGGGTGTATCAATTGTGCATATCAACATTTTAATATCTATATAAAAATTACAAAGTTATGTAACATAAAATTATCGGACGTTTTTAATTTATCTTGTTTGTAGGAAAATTATATAAAATTGTAAAAAATATATAGTTAATATGTTCAAAAAATTGAGATAACACCAGCTTAAGGGTGTGGGGGCATGACCTCGCAAATTAATTTGTCATACAGGGGTGGAACCAGAGATGTCCAAAAGGGTGCCGAAAGTGGGGCCGATCGAGATGACACTAGCCTGGGGTGGGGGGGGCTGGGGGCATGCCCCCGTGGAATTTTTGTTCTCTAGACACCGAAAAATAACCTCTGAGGTATTTTGGGTGATCAATTATTTCTTATTCTATCTTTCTCTTTTTTTTTTCTTCTTTTATTTTGATTTTGCAAAAGGTGGGGGGTGGGGAGGGCTGACCCGGTCCCCACCCCCTTAAATCCGCCCCTGTTATATATTTAATGAGAAAATATAGAGCTATAAACCTCTACTCACTCCTCTATATTGCCACCAATGACACAGTCTAAATTATAAAGTGCAACTTATTTTTAGGCCAGATTAAATTGATTATTAATTTTCCATCTTGGACTTGAAATTATTTTTGGTGAGAGTAATTACTATTTGCTATTTAGTATCCTATACTAGTGGTAAACAGGCTGGAAAGGAATAACAATTGAATTAATCTTTGTATTGTATTTTGCCATTTATGTTTCTACCTTCTTCGGCTTGACAACAATCTATCAGATCGTCATTATTTTTATTTTCCATGGAAAAATTATTGTTTTTATTTTTTTTTAAAAGCAAATAGTAAATATTTCATAAGGCTTCATAAGGCTCCAAAATTTAATAATGGCGGTGATGAGAAACTACTGTGCAATTCATTTTATTTGGCCTATATCTTCTTGATTATTGCATGTACATTACCATCTCCTTGTCTTAATATTGCAAATGAATCATGCACTTTTTCAATTCATTTGATATCTAACTGGTAGATTTTAATTTTCTTGAGTAGGTCATTCCTGGTGTTGTCATGGATTTGGTTGGGATGTGATGATCGTTGATCACGCCTGGAATTATGTTTTCTGCAGAGTTGACTTTGTCCATCAAAGTACAGAAAGGCACCACATTGTGTTGAACATTCTGCCCAAATACATTTCCCTGTCTGCCTATATTTGCTTGTGTTTTTCTTTCTGTGCAGACAAATATATTATCCTCCCTGTAATTAATTTATATTGATTGATTGATTGATTGAATAATTGCTATCAGCTGCTTAATGACCCAGGTTTTGCATATAGATTTAAATTTTATCTCATAAATAATGCCAGCTACTGCAGCAGTAAAAGTTTCCTGTCAAAAAGGTCAAGTACTGAAATTTCCACCATTCTAAAAGTTCCCATTGCTCAGACCATGGAGGTATAAAAATAATAAAAAGAAGGTACTCAGACAAAATTAAAAGAAAACAATACATTAATAATAACCAGAGAGACATAAAGCTTTGTTATTACTTAATAACATGAATGATGTCATGAAGAAAATGAGAAACTAGCTTTCTCCTGCCATTATAGCTATTTAACTCTCTAGCTGGGGAGAAGTAATTGCAAATATGTTTCCTTGCCTAAGAACACAAAAGATTTGGATCAGCCTCAGATTGTATCAGGAGTTTTGACATAGGGAGCGTGAAGGTGAAGTGTGGAAGGCGGGGGGTAGAGGTGGGGGGAAGGGAGGATCTCGATGATTAAGTGAATGGCGCAAAATAAGGTAATATGAGGTGATTTTGAACTACTTGAGAGTAATATCTTTTGTTTCAAACATTTCCCGTGTGGAGGGAGGGGTTAGGAAGTACTAGGGGATTTTTGGGGATGCCCACGCACCCCTAGATGCACCACTGTTTTGCATACGTAGTATATGCACCACTGTTTTGCATACGTAGTACTTTGTGACACACTAGTATTATATTGATTATTATTCTGATTGAATATTGTAATTTATATATGCTTTATAAAATTTTGTTCTAGAAGAAAAATCATCAAAAAAGAAGGGTGAAATATAAATCTGTTCTATTTTCTTAGTGATAATTTTATACATTAGATGTGTAAAATATTTGTATTGTGTTCTTGACTTTTTTTTGTGCTTGGATGCTGTTGGAAATGTTTTCGCTTTCTATGGGCTCTTGTCAATTTTGCTCTCCTTGAATAAACAATTTATTATTTCATTAAAATTGTATAAATTTTTTATATGAATTTGACTTTAATTTTGATGCTGAATATATCTTAACTGAACTTTGATTTTATTTATAGCACTTTGTGGAATTAATGTGAACTTTTCCCTTCTTCCATCAACACATCAAGTATTAGTCCCATAATGGCTATACAACCAGTGGCTGATTAACTTATTGTAATTCCAACATGGTGAGACATACGTAAATTCACTCACGCCATTAAACGCATGGATGGTGTGAAAATGGCTTTTTAATACAATTTCAGTGTAGTGGGCATAATTCCCACGGGGCGCTCTACGACTATCAGCACTCTCGGATTTAGGTTAACTTCTCCGTCAACAGTGCGTGAATACAGTTGAACTGATTTAAGAAATAATAACGGTTATTGTTGGTTAACACCGTGTCGGTTCTTCACAAATAACGTTTTCATGCAATTCTCATTGCATAAAATATAGTTCAGTGACCTTCTATTTGTCATGAATAGTTTGAAATGTTCATTAATAGGTGAATTAGTGACGCTAATTCTTTTAATGATTCTTAGTGCATCATTTTATATTTATTACTGAAATCCAATCGTGATGTAACTGCACTTTCTTTTAAACATACAACTGAAGGAGGCAGGTTTTTGTCTTGTTAGGAATTAGTGAAATAAAAGCAGTTAATGCGATTCAATATTTATGCTATTGCAATATTTTTCGTCGCCAAGATGGAACATAAAACAACTGAGATAAGCCAGGCTCCAAAAGGGGGAAAAAAATATGTTGTATAACTGAAGACTCAAAAAAAAAAAAAAACATATTTGACAAAAAACTTTTTTTTTTTTGAAGATTTAAAAACTGAGGGAAAGAGGGGTATAACCTTTTTTCCAGCTTTGTCCTTCAGTTTTTAAATGTTAAGAAATCGGTATCTCAATAACCTCTCCAAACTGTTTCGTCAAATATGCTGTTTGTGTCTTGAAAAAAAAATTGTTGTACAACATATCATATTTAACATAAACCTTGGCAGACACATCCATTTCTTGTCAATTCTGATTTAAAATTTCTGTTATATATCTTCTTGTTAGTCAAATCCTTTTCAATAATGTTTTGCATACATTTTGAATATTTAATATACCTAAACATTCAAATATTTTTCTTATTTTGCATTAAATTTATACATTTTCCCCATTATTTTGTATTTATAATGTTTTTATTTGTGTATTACAAGCTTTATATTATTTTTTTAATAAACTTTTAAAATGAAACTATAACTTTTTATTAAAGATATTTTCTTTCTTTTAATAGCCGTACATTGTTTGAACAGAGGAATATGTTGTATTTTCTGCAATGCTATTTTTCACACATTTTTATTCAACAATCATATTCACTATATCCATCCATATATTTTTGTGGCATTTTAAAAATATTTATGATAATTTCCTTAACTGTGTGCTCACATGGTTTGAACGAGTAAGCATGCTGATTATAATCCTGAACTGCGTGACGTTGGGAATGTATCGGCCGTGTGAGGACACGACGTGCGATTCGAGAAGATGCCTAGTGCTCGCAGGCTTCGACCACTTCATCTTCGCTTTCTTTGCGGTGGAAATGGTTATCAAAATGATAGCAATGGGAATTCTCGGGAAGCTTGGTTATATGAAGGAATCTTGGAATAAGCTTGATTTCTTTATAGTTGCAGCAGGGTAAGTACAAATTGAATGTTGTTATTGGTTTCAGTTAATTTGTTTAAAATACTTTTTAAACTAAGCTAAAACTAAAGCTAAATGATCCTTCTTTTCAATATTGCTTTTTTTTTCTTTTTGTCTTATAACACGTTATATCGTCATTGCGGACTTATAAAATCCTCATACGCCTTAAAACTAAAAGAAAATGAATATGTTTAGAGTCCGTACTGAGCCCAAAAAATCCGCAATGAAAATATAACGTGTTTTATCATTTGCTCAACAAAATATTAACAAAAACAAAAATTACATACATGAAACGAATTACATTTGGAACTTAACCAAACAAAGCAAAACACAGACAGAAAAATAAACACCTGTTTTTGTACCATCTTAGGTTAAATAATTGTATACATTATTATTTTATTTTTTGATAAAATGTATTAGTTTTTTGATGAAATATGAAAAATAAATTTGACTACCCTTAAAATCAGGGAACAGTGATTCACAATATTGTTTTTATTTTTGTGTTTTATTCTTGACGGCATGGAGTATGTAAAGGCATTGATTTTCATTGTGGTCTAGAATAAATTTCTTGACAAATCTGCATTACAACATAACAGTGAAAAATTACAGAGGAAAATTAATGTAAAGGAATAAAAAAAAAAAAAA